GGTAGGATCGCCAATCGTGCCGAAACATTATCGACGCAATGTCTTCAATACATTGCACAAACTTTCGCATCCAGGTGTTCGTGCAACCATCAAGCTTATAGCAGAACGGTTTTGCTGGCCTGGCATGAATAAAGACGTGAGGGAGTGGGCACGCTCCTGTGTAAGCTGCCAAAAATCTAAGGTTATCAGACACAATAAATGTCCCTTAGGCTCGTTTAAAACTCCCGATGCCCGTTTCGACCATGTCCATCTGGATTTAGTAGGACCTTTACCGGATTCAAATGGATACTCTTATCTCTTAACCTGCGTAGACCGTTTCACTCGATGGCCAGAAGCAGTACCTATCAAGGACATTACTGCTGAAACAGTGGCCCGCACATTCGTCGAACGATGGGTAGCAAACTTCGGCTGCCCTTCAACCATCACTACAGACCGCGGACGCCAGTTTGAATCAGAACTTTTCCGTCGTCTGACCGCACTTTTAGGAAGCACTCGCTTCCGAACGACCGCCTACCATCCACAAGCAAACGGCTTGGTAGAACGTTTTCACCGACAACTAAAAGCTTCACTATCAGCTGCAAACGTTTCACAGTGGACCGACGCTCTTCCACTCGTCTTACTAGGTATCCGCAATGCAGTAAAAGCTGACATTGGATACACTGCGGCTCAACTCGTTTATGGAACGACACTTCGACTTCAAGGAGAGTTTGTGGATCCTTCATCCTCTTCAATGAACATGGATCTAACCTCCTACACGAACAGGCCTACAAACGCAATGCGTTCAGTTAAACCTGCTGCCACTCGACCACAATCAACCGATGTTTTCGTTCAACCTCACTTACGATATAGTACACACGTTTTCGTTCGTCGAGACTCGCATCGACGACCATTCGAATCAGCATACGAAGGACCTTCCAAAGTTTTTCAACGCGAACCGAAGTACTATATAATCGATAGGAACGAAACCAACGATAGCATCAGCATCGATCGCCTCAAAGCAGCGTATTTAGAAGGAACTCCTATCTACGTCGATTTTCCTTCGGTACAATCGAACGACACGACTCCACTCATAATTCCTCAACCGACAACCAACACTAGCGATGACACTCCGAATGTGTCTGAAAAATAAACTTAAAACGACGCGTTCTGGAAGAAGAGTAAGATTTCCAGAACATTTAAACGACCACTGCACGTACGGCACTACTCGACATTTTATATTATCTCGATCTTTTTTTTACGATTTATAATATTTATAAAAAGCAATTTTAATATGCTTATATATTTATATTTTTGTTTAAAAAAACAAACAAAAAAACATTTTTTAACGCTATTACGTGTGCTCGAGTTTTTTTCCATTTTTTCGACGACACTGTGTTTTTACGCACATACGAGTGTACTTCGATATGCACTTATATTTTCTTTTTTCTTTTCCAGGACGGCTGGAAAAAAACGATGAATTTTACGAGGAGTCAAAATTTTCATTGTGATTTTTGTTTTTTTACTATGTTGTACCTCGGTCCCATATAGTAAGGAAAGACGACCAGACGCTGCTAAACCTAGTAAGCTATCAGAAGAGTGTTTATCAACGACAGACTCGTTGGGTTTAAACTTCTGGCTGGCCACGTCTTAGGGTCGTCGCTGCCCCACTAGGGGGGAGTGATCTGTAGCAGTAAATAAATCCCCAAAATAAATAGCTCTGTAGGTTTTCGACATTGGATGCTGACCATGTGTTTTAGTGGACTCATCTAGCTGAAGGCGCTCGGTCATCCATCCGCACCAGATCACATGTGGTAACGCCGTGCTCAACATCTACCGCAACCGCTAGCCAGACTATGCCAGAGAATTCCGATATATTGGTAATCGCCAAATACACTCTTCCGATCTCCTCGACTCTGTCTTTTGATTTCACTCAGTGGGTACAAATTATATTAGGTGTTGCTGGTAAAAGCGTTGTCAAACACTGAATACCTGTGTCATCTTCAAGCTCAAACCATTAGGTATCAAATCATCTCTAATTGATTGTCTCGTTTCATCTCTAAAGAATCGACATTTTAAGGTCGGGGTTAACTTCGCTTCCTCCCAGTATATGCAGTGTCCTAGTGGGATTTCCCAGGGTTCAATACTAGAACCTCTTTTATTGACTTAGATAAACGATCTTCCACAACAGGTGTCGTCTAATTTATTACTTTTTGTTGATGATGTGAAACTTTGGAGAGCGATGCACAACCAAAAGTATATACTGGCACATGATGATCTGACTCGATTTCAGAGTTGGGCAGATGACAACGGACTTGCCTTTAGCACTTCAAAGTGCAAAGTAGTCCATCTGAGACGTGTTGCAGGCTACAGTTACAACTTAGGAAACTCCTCTCTAGAAGTATCCCAAGTTGAAAAAAGATTTAGGAGTGCCGGTATCCTACGATTTGAAGTCTTGCGCTAACTGTGACAAAATTGCCTTTCAAGCGAATCTTGCACTGGCAATATGGAAGCCAATTTTTGATCATTTTGACGGGACTTCAACAGTTTCGTTCGTCCCCATTAACAGTAAGAAACATGGGATTTCCTCCCTCACTCCAAAAGGATAAGGACACTCTGGAGCGTATCTGACGACGAGCCACGAAATCAGTTCGGGGACTCAAATTCAAGCCTTAAGAAGGGCGCCTTCAACCACTAAACCTTTACTCATTGGTGTATAGGCGGCTTAGAGGTGACCTTATAATGACTTGCGTTATCCCTAACACTTCTGTATATTCTCTTAAACACCTACTTAAGTTTAACTCCAACACAAACTTAAGGGATAATACCCAGAAACTGGTGACATAACTCAGCAGAACGGACTGTAGACACAACTTCTGCTCTTTTAGAGTAGTCAAGTGCTGGAATTTGTGGCCGGTTTAGCTTGTCCAGGCGACTTCGCAGGAGTCCTTTAAGAGAAAACTTGACCTATTTTTAAGGTCTAAGGATAGTTTCTTACTATGAATTACCAATTTCTTTTACCTCTTTTGCTACCATAATACCTGGGTTCCAGCCCGGAGGAATTGGTGATCGGCTGCTACTAGATACGGAAGCCCGTTAAGCGAAAGCTTCTTCTATTCCGTACAAAGCCATCTGAACAATTAAGAAAACGTGTATACTACACAACAACAAAAAAAGTTAAATTACTGCCTTCCTCAGTGATTTCACTGTTGCAAAAGATCTACTTAAATGTAAGAAAACTTAATATTTGTGCAATTAAACGATACCTAACAAACCCATGCAATTGAAATACGGGATGACCGCCTCTTGTCTGGCGGTTCATGGTTGTTGAAACAAAACGGTGGGCGGCTCCCCATCTGACTGACTGACCCTCTAATTTGATATGTTATGCCACATTTGAAAGTAAGTATTTCGTGCTTGCGTAAAACTAAATTTTAGGTGTTGTGCCTACATGGATACAGGTATCCTCTGTGATGAAATGTAATCTATTTCGCTGTGTAGGCAAAACTCGGGTGTTTTTCGCGAAAAAACAGGCGGATTAAGAAAATCGCTAAAAAAGTTCTGTGAATTTAGTTAGTTAGATTTGTCATTCTTTTGTTTTTATGTAGAATTTATGTCTGCCCCAAATGTTATCGAATGCTCCTCGAACGGTTAGTCTTAATTTTCATATATCCCAGATCTGCTTCCAAAAGCTTGTGCCTGGTGGTTTTCTAAACCTGCGGAATTTTTAGCACAAGAAAGTAGTACGTATGATGCTGGCTTTCTTGAATCCCTATTGGCTGTCAAAAAATACATTAAAGAAGAGGTTTGGAGTGTTCATGTACTACATTTTCCCAGGGTCCATTCGATGGGATACTTGGTTTCAGCCAAGGTGCAGCATTCCTACTTCTGCTACAAATTATGATGGAGCATAAATTAAGTGGTACAGTTCGTGAAAATAACTTTACTTTCACCTCAAAGTTTGTATAAACACCTTATTCATGTTTTGCATCATACTCATCATATGACTTATACTGTGTGGTGGCTGGTACTATGTCAAGACCACATAGGCTATTCTAGCCTCTGGAAAGACCAACTTAGTCATTCTTCTAAAGCCACATTTGATCTTGTTGATTATTTGCTTGGTAATCCTAACTGGTTTCATGTGATCGTCTGTGTGTTCATTGCTTACCCTCTTCATCACATGCTTGTAACTTATTTTTGTCTGAATTTAAATATCAAGTCGAGTTGGCTCACTCGCATTCTCTACTGCACATCATTTCGTTTGGCTTCTCCTTCACTACGTTTCTCAGATTGTCTGTCCGGATCAATGAGTGTGCGAAATATACGAATTCGAAATCCATTTGACACATTCTATTCCGTTATTATTTAACGTGAATTAAGTCGATAATTATGTACGAGGGTAGCCTGTATGTATATGTCGATAACAATCATGAGATTTAAGGGGAGTCAGATCACGGCACCACAAGCATCGTCATGGGATACTTTGACTAGTTTCATGCCTGCAACTATTATACTTAAACCTTGTAGGTATATTTTTATTACGTTTATAGTTCCCTCCGTGTCTTCCTGATCACAAACTGGTTTCAAAAACTTGGTAGTCTATAGTCATTTCTGATCGTTCGTAATACATTTTCATCCGTCTTTCATACACTTTACCAACTATTTAATGATATTATTGTCTTACTGAAAGTTCCACTACTTCCGCATTTCATCTAGCAGGTAAATGATTAATCTCGTCTATTCACCGTTACTTCGTTTTATTTTACGTGAGAGAGAGAGTATTTTTATCTTGTATACGGATACTTGTTGAGGATATGCTAATGAGAGAAGAAATATCAGTCCGAAAGAGCACCCTCCAAACACTTAGTTTCCTTTTATTAGTTTTGCAAGCTAAGACTCCATAAAATAGGTTTTGATAATTATTAATTTTTATTCACTTGTACTCCTGCCTCTTTGGTGATTATAAAATCCTGCATACGTCAACGACACTCCTGTCGTTTAGTACTAAAAATTCTGACCAATAGTGGATTTAGAAGTGTTATGTGTAACCGACCACGCGCAACGGTTTCATTAATTTAAATGTACTAATGGTTTAAGGATTATAAACTAATTCACTAAATGTAACTATAACTCGTTATTAGGTAAAATGGATTATGCTCATTGTCTCACAAAATGTTTTTTGTTTATTCCAAAGATTTCACAGATTACGATGTGGAACCGATCAAATTCACAATATTGGTTGCACCTTTTATCAGTCGTTGTTTGCTTCATCAAGCTATTTATGTTCACAAAACATCGATACCGAGCTTAGTCATCTATGGCGAAACAGATTCTGTTATCCCCCGAGGTCAGTACACCATTCTTTACTGTGAAAACCTATTCTTACTGTAGACCACCCACCGTACCTTTTAGTTCTTACCATCCTTAATCGATAATCAGTCCTATACATGAAAGTAATTAGCGCCGGAATATTCTGATAACTATTCTGGTGTAACTGTGTTGTCGTTTAATATTGGCTAGTCAAAACCCAGGATATGAATCAATAAGGTGGTCAAATTTGACACAGGGATTAACCGTGTTAATCGAACGCGTCGGTAACTTCACTTATCTTGGAAGTCTGATCAGACCTAATGGGTTGGTGCCTGACAAAATCTCAGCACGGATTCAGAAAGCTCGTTTGGCTTTTGCCAACTTACGTCACCCATGGCGAAGGCAAAATATCCGTCTATCAATTAAAGGACGAGTATACTGCATAGCAGTTCGTTCCGTCTTAACGATTACGAAATGTGGCCATTAAGGAAGGGTAGGAGATACTCGTAAGTTACTAGTATTTGATCACAGATGTCTTAGGAATATTGCCAGCATTAGCTGGGATCATCGGGTAAATAATAGTGAGGTTAGACACAGGGTACTAGGGAATCTGGGTAAATCAGTTGATGAGGTTGTGAATCCTCATCGACTGAGATTGTTGGGTCATGTGCTATGTATGCTTGAACACCGATTACCACGACGCGCAATGCTGATTAGTGTTGGGGACAGTTGGAAGAAGGTTAGGAGCGGCCAAATTTAAACGTGGCATCAGTGTTTGAAGTCACTAACTTCTGGTCTCAACCATGTTTGTAGATATATACTGTTTAGACGGGGTCCACGCGACTATCGTAACCTGTGGTTGGAGACTCTGGGTGACATGGCCCAGAATCGATCACAATGGCGTATGTGTATGTGCTCTTTGTGTTCCCGTAAACCGTGAGATTACAATCGCTTTATATCTTTCTACGAACTAATTCTTTCTTCCTGTATTATATCCTCGTACACAATCTTTCTTTTATACATTACTATCATTGAAGTAACTAATTCTATGAATTTGGTGTTCATCTTTTCGTATTAGTGAGTGAGGTATAGCAACTTGGACCGATGCATATATGTGCCTGATCTTGCAGTGTAGCTGACTGACGTGACTGGATGCTTGATATATCGAACTACGTTTCATTATCAAATCATACTAACTAAGTAATTCATAAGCTTTTGATTTCTTGGTAAAATACTAAGTTAGCAAAATTCTTGAATAAGTTGGCCGAGCGTGCCCAGCAAATTTCTTTTACTTAAGCCTAGTACCTCATTTTAGCCAAAGATCATCGATCGGCAATTTCCAAGCACCCCATCCCGACCTCTTTCTAGTTGTTGTCAATTGTTATTCGTGGTCTCAATGTCTCCCTCGAACTCCTAGAGTCATGTGTTCTTTGCTTTCTCTTTCTTTTCTCTTTAGGAACTTAAGTTAGGGATTGCCTTGTGCTTGAGCCTAATGGTTTCTAAAGTGTGTATTCTATCCATCCTCATCATATTTTCTCTATTCCATTTTCACCTGCCATCTGGTTTGCGGTAGTGGTGGTAGTTTTTCAAGTTTCACTACCACACAATACAGGTGTTTTAACGTTGATGTTGTAAATTCTTGCTTTGATCTTCAGTAACAGTTGTTTTGAGTTTCAAATATGCCTCAGTTGTAGGAATATTTCCCTTGCTTTCCTATTCATACCTTGATATCTACGTCAGATCTTCCATGTTTATAGATTATGCTACTCAGGTACGTAGACTCCCACTTCTTCCAGAGCTTCTCCACTAGGTGTGTTTTGTTTGCTGCTCGCTGAATTGTATTTCTGGATCTTTGCAAATACCTCTATCTAACCTCACTACTTCAGCTGTCATGCTGTCTGGTCCTGCTGCTTTTCCATCCTTGATTTGTTGATGCCATTGCCGCTTTGCATTGTTAGTGGAGTATCATCTAAGTGAGTTGTGTATGTGATACTTGCATGTATGGTGGGTTCAGTCGGGCTAGTTTATTTAGGAGCTCTTCGAATTTTTCCACTAATCTGTTTCGCTGCTGCTGAATCTTTGTGGTTGGTTTTCCTTTTTTTTCCTGACTGATAATTCTGGTCCCTCCAAGATTCTTGATTTTATTTCTCTATTCTATACATTTCCGCTTGTCAGTTCTAATGCTCTTTCTGACCCGTTTGCTCCTGTGTTTTCGGCTTGTGCCTTGGCTTTCTCTGCTCTTCTTCGGCTGTTGTTGACTACTGGCGTCTTCCTTATTCTAGTGCTTCTTACGGCCAAGCATTTGGCATTTTAAACTTATTGCTTTTCTAATCCTTTTCTAGTTGCTCTCCGTAGTAGGTTCTTCTAGTAGATCCCGTAAGACTTGTAACTTGTTGCTGAGATTTATTCCAAATTCACTGAGCTTGTTAGCGTCTCGAAGAAAAGCCATATTAAACATTTTTATTCCTGCCTGACCGATCGTCCAATGTTTGTTTAGCTTCATTTTTAATTTGGTCACCACTATGTGATGGTCTGACGCTACATCAGCTCCTCTCTTTGTTCTAACGCATTCAATAGACCTTTTGAATTGTTTGTTTATGCCTCTATGATCATTCTTCGACGCCTAATCAAAGCTCGTGAAGAGCAGACTAGAGAAAATCAGGCTGGTTTTCGACCTGGACGTGGTTGTATAGATCAGATATTCACACTACGTCAGGTTCTAGAACACAGACATACGTTCAGACGCCCCACAATGGTAGTATTTCTCGACCTTAAGGCGGCATTTGACTCTGTTGATCGTAAGGTTCTATGGCAGTGTTTGTCGCTGAAAGGAGTACCAAACAAGTACATTAACCTTATAAGGGCTCTCTACTCGAACACAACTGGTAGAGTGAGAGCTTATGGCGAACTGTCATCAGAATTGATTACCTCAAGTGGTGTTCGTCAGGGCTGTCCACTCTCCCCATTCTTGTTCAACTTTGTCATTGACGTACTTTTAGAGATAACACTCTACTCATCTAAATTTACAAGGGTTGAACTTCTACCGGGAGGTTCACTTGTTGACTTAGAATATGCTGATGACATAGTTTTATTTGGTGAAGACGCTGACAAAATGCAGAGTCTTTTGACCACTCTAAGTAACAATGCAGGCATGTTCGGGATGCGATTCTCCCCTCGAAATGTAAAATGTTGCTTCAGGATTGGGTTGCATTGACACCCGAACTAATGATAGGGAGTGAAGTAATTGAGCGTGTCGATCGCTTCACTTATCTTGGAAGTCTCATCAGCCCTTGTGGTCTGGTGTGTGACGAAATCTCAGCACGGATACAGAAGGCTCGACTAGCTTCTACCAACTTGCGTCATTTATGGCGTAGGTGAGATATCCGTCTATCAACCAAAGGACGGGTTTACTGTACAGCAGTTCGCTCTGTCCTACTTTATGGCAGTGAAACATGGCCGGTAAGAGTAGAGGATATTCGTAGGTTACTAGTATTTGATCATAGGTGTCTTCGAAATATTGCTCGTATATCCTGGGACCATCGAGTAAGTAACGCAGTTGTTAGGAAACGGGTACTAGGTAAGGATGGCAAATCAATTGATGACGTAGTGAAACTTCATCAGGTGAGATGGCTGGGACATGTGCTACGTATGCCCAACCACCGACTGCCTCGATGTGCGATGTTCAGTCGTATAGGAGTATGTTGGAAGAAAGCTAGGGGCGGCCAGATCAAAACATGACACAAGTCCATGAAGTCACTGACAAGTGGACTGATTCATGTTGGTAGGTGTAGACTACCTGGTTGGGGACCGCGAGATGATAGCAACCAATGGTTAGAGACCTTGAATGACATGGCTCAAAATCGTTTGCAATGGCGCAGGTGCATCCACTCTTTGTGTTCTCCCAAATTTTGATCTCCTTATTCCTCCTTGTCTTTTTTATCTCCTCGCAAATTTATTTCACTGTATTATACTCTTTAATTAACATCTCCAAACACTAATCTTCCCGATTACTTCTTATAATCTTATTACCTCTACTACTACGGGATTTGAATCGACTACTGCATCTCTATGCTAATGTGGTGTGGCAACTCGAACTGATGTACGTACGTATGAAGTTCTACGTTGTTACTGACTGACTGACTGACTATGATCATTCTAATTTTCCGTAGTGTGGTTCAGTGAAATTCATGTAACCTGCATGGATTTGTGATGGAAAACTGTACCGCTTAACACCATATTTTTGAAATCATATGGGCCTACCAGTGTCTCCATTCTTGTTCTTATCTTCCAGTCAATGTCCCACCATAATGCGTTCAAACCTGATCCTTTCCATGAGTGTCTTTATTGAGATAAAACTACGTCTGGAAGAGATGATTGAAGAAGTTTCCGTTAATAATAAACGCTAATTGGACACTGATTATTTTCACAATTCCGTTCTCTTAAAGCTTCAGTAACATGACTCAAGTGAAAACTACCGAACTCCTTTTAAATATGTTTTATAATTTATCCAAAAATTGGAGTACTCTGGATGTTCTGGTCAAAATATACACTCATCGTAACTATCTTAAAGCCAATATTAGTCAAGGTAAATGAGTATTCATATTCCCAATACATACTGCCTAACCCAAAGTCTTAATTATCGAGATAAGTTTAAGGTGAAAACAAATCAATCTTCTAAATGACTTTTAACATAAAATAAACGACTACTTCTATTCTCCTGGCGCTTATTAATAAACCTGTGTGTAAACAGGAAGGAGTAATAAAGCAATGAATAATCATGGTAGACAAAACATTTTAGGTATCCCTTAATGCAATATTTAGGTTTTAAAGAGGGTACTGTACCATACTTCTTGTTTTTTATGTTACATTTATCTACATCTAGTTTTGAAGTAAGTACTCTTAATTTGTGAATTCTTAAATATCTAACTTCGTCAGTTTAGATAGTCAAATTGATTGAATATCTAAATTAATAAGGGGGTTTCTTATGTTTAACTTTCTTTGTATGTTTACAGAAATGTCTGAGGAAGTACTGGATGTATTCTTATCTGAACCAAAGGTATTTGTACATGACGGTGGTCATTACATTCCTACACACGCTGATGCAAAGAAAATATATACTGATATTGTTTCGAAATTTATCGAAAAGTAGATAAAACTTGCAGAATTCAGTTCCTGTCATCCTGCATTTGAAAACTCATTTTCTGTGAATTGATTTTTGTAACGCTGTAACAATTTGTTGTTAATCTAGATAACTGATTATAAGTGGCGCATTTTTCAACAGTAAAGAACTCAAATCAACTTATCAAAGCTGGCACCTGGTCAGACACCTTTGCAAGTGTTTTTGATCTGCTTCAGTACCTTAACAAATTAAGTCGGTGACCTGAGAGTACCGTAAAAGTAGACAGTGGACACTGGAGTAAGTAGATAAGGGTTCAGACGTTTAACCAAGGTTCTAAAATTTGAATGCTATAACCACTAGCCGATGTCGTCATCAAGTTAAGCAAGTCAGTTATCTGAGAGACCCATAGAAGTGCAAGTCGTCATACTCGACTCCGGAGAAAAGGTATAAACCACTTAATAAGTGATTAACTTTGTGTCAAAAAATTGTAAACATTCTCACATTTCTGATTTAGGCGTTTAGAAAACCAATCATCTCTTCACGGTCTTTTAAAAAGACTATGTCAGAAAATCACGATGTGAAGAAACAATGCCAGATAAGGTATAGTCATCTTTATCAGTATATCTGTGACAGTTAACCACGACAATAAAGCTTGTATTCAATCAGCTTAAAACTCTCCACACTATGGCAAAATTTTCCACTACTGATTAGATTTTAGATTAAGGCTTGTTACTCCCAATGGAGCATAGGCCACTGACCAGCATTCTCCAACCCACTCTGTCCTGGGCCTTCTTTTCTAGTTCCATCCAATTCTTGTTCAGTTTTCTCATGTCTATCTCCATTTCTCGGCGTAATGTGTTCTTTGGTCTTCCTCTTTTCCTTTGACCTTGAGGATTCCATGTGAGGGCTTGCCTTGTGACGCAGTTGGGTGCTTTCCTCAATGTGTATCCTATCCACTTCCAGCACTTCTTCCTGATTTCTTCCTCCGCTGGGATCTGGTTTGTTCTCTCCCACAGTAGGTTGTTGCTAATAGTGTCCGGCCAACGGATCTGAAGTATTTTGCGTAGACAATTGTTAATGAATACCTGTATTTTCTGGATGATGGCTTTCGTAGTTCTCCAGGTTTCTGCTCCATACAGTAGAACTGTCTTGACATTTGTATTGAAAATCCTGACCTTGGTGTTGGTTGACAGTTGCTTTGAATTCCAGATGTTCCTCAGTTGTAAATATGCTGTTCTTGCTTTGCCGATCCGCGCCTTCACATCTGCATCAGATCCACCCTGTTCATCAATGATGCTGCCCAAATACGTAAAGGTTTTTACATCTTCCAAATCTTCTCCGTCAATTGTGATTGGATTGGTGCGTTCTGTGTTGTATCGGAGAATCCTGCTTTTCCCTTTGTGTATATTGAGACATATTGCTGCTGAGGCTGCCGCCACACTGTTCGTCTTCTCCTGCATCTGTTGTTGCGTTTGGGATAGAAGGGCCAGATCGTCTGCGAAGTCTAGATCATCCAACTGCATCTTAGATGTCCATTGTATCCCGCGCTTCCCTTCAGACGTTGACGTCTTCATGATCCAGTCGATCACCAGGAGAAAGAGAAAGGGTGAGGGTAAGCAACCTTGCCTAACACCGGTCTTCACTTCGAACGACTTTGTCAACTGTCCTCCATGCACGATTTTGCAGTGTAATCCATCATATGAGTTCTGTATGATATTGACTATCTTCTGAGGCACGCCGTAGTGTCGAAGAAGTCTCCATAGTGTTGTTTTGTCCACGCTATCAGATGCCTTTTCGTAGTCAATGAAGTTGATGTAGAGCGATGAATTCCATTCAATTGATTGTTCCACAATGATCCGTAGAGTTGCGATTTGGTCTGTACACGATCTATCCTTACGGAATCCTTCCTGTTGGTCACGAAGTTGGGCGTCTACGCAGTCCTTCATCCTGTTTAACAATATTCTGTTGAAGAATTTTCCTGGTATTGAGATAATAGTGATGCCCCTATAGTTATAACAGTTGCTGAGATCGATTTTCTTTGGTATTTCGACCAGAAGTTTTTCTTTCCAGTCTGTTGGTATTTGTTCCTCATCCCAAATTTTGCTGACGAGAATGTGGAGTATCCTTGCAGTTGCCGCTACGTCTGCTTTTAGTGCCTCTGCTGGGATGTTGTCTGGTCCTGCTGCTTTGCCACTCTTGATTTGTCTGATGGCCATGCTAATTTCTCCAATTGTTGGTGGGCCAACATCGATTGGGAGGTCCGTGGGTGCTGCTTCGATGTTGGGTGGGTTCAGTGGAGCTGGTCGATTCAAGAGTTCTTTGAAGTGTTCTACCCACCTGTTTTGCTGCTCTTCACTACTGAGATATCAACAATACAATAATAAGGGGTAGTGTGATCTGATTATTAGATTAAAGCATATACATTATCGAACTTCTGATGTATGTGAAAAAGTTTGCTCACTATTTCATTACTTCTATATTATATCTCATTAGCTGTTGATAGAATGGTAGCACAAATCGACTGACTGTATTTCTAGAACTACATTTATTTTAACTCACTACTTCTGATGATTCAATCAGAGACTAATATGAATTTTCGACTCTACGAAGGTAGCTCTTCATATTTATGTTGTTACTTGAGTTACCTAGTTTGCAATCTAGAGCTGTCAACTATGTGTTAATCATAGTGAAATTAATTATCTCATTATTTTCATGTTTAAAGTTCATACTAGAGTTAATTCTTTCATTGTCTAATCATTTTCAATCTATCCTTAATGTTATTTATTGTCGATATTTCAAAAAAATTACTGTAGTTAAACTATCATTTATCATAAATTTGTGTAAAAATTTATTCTGGGAATTCATCGAAATGTTTGTCTTTTTCGTTCGCTAGATCTATTTTTTCATTGATACATTGACAAATCTCTTTAAATAGGGTCTCAACCCCATTATTGCTATCAAAATAATCTAATAAAAGAAAAAAACAAGATTAGTGGAAAATCACTTTTGATGTTTAAGCATGTGTTAGAGGGTACTAAAAACTGATTTAAACCCTATAATCGTATAAGCCAGAATTATGTTTCCACTAACATTTAAACAACTATAATCCAATCTTTCGGTGTATGAAGGCTTGTGTACCTATGGGGTATTGACTGTGACTCTGGTACTCTAAAATAAGGACTTAGGTCATCAAGGAGATGAAGTTTGTAACCAAATGTCCTCATTCACCACATTCCAGTACCAACGGTGTTGATTCATATAGATAGTGTTATACATTGAAGATGACTATCATATCGTAGGACGAAAAATGTATAAAATTATGGTAAATATTTGTTCTGGAACGACTAGTCGAGCGAGGGATTCTCTTGAAATGAGTGTATTTGAAAAACAGTACAATTGTTTGCATTTTTTGTCGTGGTATGTCCAGACATTGATTATAAAAAGAGAATGCAGACAAATGCCATCTCTCTAGCGACATGCTATAAATGAACGATATCGAAATGTAAGTTCTTCATCTTATTTCACCTATAAGATCTAGCTAAATTTTCTTAGAACACTTAGCTCGACTTCACTTTGTTTAAAATTTAGATATCTATAGTTCAAAGCTATAGAAATGTGTAGAAAAATTCCTCTTAGTTAACATATTTTTTTAAAAAATCCAGGAGAACTCCCTATTAGACTGTATCGTTTTATTGAACCCAGTGGTTGTTTAGTTTCAACTGATAATTAATTTTGGAATGATAGCTTCCACTTTGTCTTGATTAAAAATCATGGTTTGTGGATAAAATTGACTGATATGGTTCTGAAATAAATAGATATCCTTATGGTTCACAGTTGATAATGGAATTGTGTCTTTGTTGCTTAAAACTAATATATTTCTTGAGGTAGATTAGATGTACACAAAGTTTTTATACTAAATGCTTTTTAGGTTTCCGCACCTGAAATCCACATAAACAAAAAAGTTTATTAGGACGCACGAATTAATTCACATGTATGAATTTTAACTTACATATAGAGTCTTTTGAACACTCCAAGATGTCTAGCGTTCTTAGATATGTTGGCCAAACATATTTAGCAAAATAATTTGGTGGGTCCGGTGTATTATATTTTCTTAGCCTAAAGGGAAATGCAATCATTTCATTTATTTAATAACCCTATACTGTTACACAACCAAAGCTTAAGTCGTCAAGTAGTTACAGGATTGTCAAGTACATGTCAACAAAAACACTACGAGATGGGACATTTTTCATGAATTTATTGTAAATAAATATTGACAATGTTTTCCAATTTAGGCGCAATAACCTTCCTTAGGTTGTTAAATATCGAGATTCTCAGGCGTATCGTATGATAAATAAGTCTGTGCGAAATCTTACTTAATATTAATAAGGACCCTAGTTGTGTTATAATCTAAGGAGCCAATTTTACTATTGAGAAGGATTCCTGAATTGTTGGCTGTTAATATCAAGAATATTATGTTTTAACTTCGCAGATCCCTATCATATTCAAACAGTGATGTATGAAACAATATTCTTTTTCATAGACTATTCAATTCCCACAGCTATATCGAAAAAACGACCAATTTTAAGAGGGGTACGTCGTTTTAAATCGTAGTATGTGAATTAAAGATTATGAAATAAAATTGTTAGTGCTGAAATGACTAATACGCAATGTAAAGGTTGACAAGTTATGTAAGATAATTAAAACAGCCTAATAATCCAAATAAATACGGATGGCATCAGAGTGAGAGAAATAATCATTTCATCACAAATCAGTTCAAATACTAATTGAAAAACTACTTTGTGTCAGTTTAGTTAAGTTCATTATAAAATAGAAGTGTGGACTGAGTTCCAACCGGATTATTTTCGTTTGAGTGAATAACAGTTATACCAAAACAATCATCATGATGTATCTATAATATCTCAATCAGTAGAAAATAAAATTTATGACGTTTCGTGTCTCCAGTGAACGCCACTTCAATTATTAAATAAAAAAGTGGCTAACACAAAATGTCGAAAATTCCGTTTCCTACTCATTACGAACAATCTACCGAATGCTCAATTCATTCGAAGCTATCAAGTCAAACCCTAATAATGATAACGACAAACAATAACAATTATAGTACGAAGATATGAGGATAAAAATAATGGATATAATATGTGGACAAGGATTGCTTTAAGTTAAAAAAATTTAGAAGTGGGAAGAATGCATAAAAAATAGTCAAGTTAGGTCATTACATAATATGATTTATTGTTAATTTGCTGACCTTCAGTTAGGAGAAGGGGTTAAGTATATTCCCAGTTTTTAGTCCAAATGGCCGATGCTTAAGATACATTGGAGGACTTAGATTCTGACTGACTTTGTTAGGAAACTACCAAGTCGATAAACTCAGAAATGATCGATTTATGCTGACACTATAACTAGTTTGAACTGAATAGTTCGGTTTTGAGCTGTTTATAATTTTGATTACGCCTTTGTCTAACCACCCTGGAAGGCGTTCACGAACATGTAAAGGTTCCTAGAACTTCGGCTAACATGACTTGCTCCACTAGAGCATTCGGATTGATAATTACATTACGAGTTGACCGTTCTGGGTAGTTCATCCCTTAGTCTTGATGTCAACGTAGGGTGCGTAAAAAACACTAGTCGTAGCTTCCTGGCATTGGATGCTCTCTAAATTGTTCTACATAATCTGTGGATTAATATCACACTGGCTGTATTTCTTAGGCTCGTGATCATGGATCTCTTGAATACTCCACTTATGTATCATTGCTTTAATATCACAGAAAAACGAGACACTCATATGAGATGTACTTTAGGAAGGCCCTGTTTGATTATTAATATAAGTTGTTCTGCATTTATTTAACTATATAATTAATCATGCTGAACAGTCTGTATATATGTATGTATGCGTCCAATTCATGGTTTCTTATAAGTGCTTAAATTGGCAACAATTTGGTTCTTTTTTTTTACATAGTAAACGCTCAACTATTCAATCTATTTTTTGCCAATTCCCATTACAATTAGGTGGTTTGATGTCACATGAATTAGAAGTTCTTACAAAGTTTCACTTTGTTTTACGAGTACAACTTTCGATTTTCGAAGAAAAAATGTGATAGATTTTTGTGGCTCAATGTCTGACTTCAGTAAGATCGTATGATTGCTATCGAAATGTACATCTATATACCTACAAGGTTTAAGTATAATAGTTGCAGGCATGAAACTAGTCAAAGTATCCCATGACGATGCTTGTGGTGCCGTGATCTGACTCCCCTTAAATCTCATGATTGTTATCGACATATACATACAGGCTACCCTCGTACATAATTATCGACTTAATTCACGTTAAATAATAACGGAATAGAATGTGTCAAATGGATTTCGAATTCGTATATTTCGCACACTCATTGATCCGGACAGACAATCTGAGAAACGTAGTGAAGGAGAAGCCAAACGAAATGATGTGCAGTAGAGAATGCGAGTGAGCCAACTCGACTTGATATTTAAATTCAGACAAAAATAAGTTACAAGCATGTGATGAAGAGGGTAAGCAATGAACACACAGACGATCACATGAAACCAGTTAGGATTACCAAGCAAATAATCAACAAGATCAAATGTGGCTTTAGAAGAATGACTAAGTTGGTCTTTCCAGAGGCTAGAATAGCCTATGTGGTCTTGACATAGTACCGGCCACTACAAGATCTTAGTATTAACCAACTACTTCTGGTAAGAAAGTATAAGTTCCTTCCATAAGTAATCTTTCACCAAGGACTGTGATCAGTCGGACAACGATCGGAAGTTTGGATGTGTTGATCATCGATTCCGTTCTCGTTTGAAACTTATCATCTGGGTACATTAATGACCGCTAACACGACTGATACCAGAACCTTTAAGTTTTAAGACTATGAAAATACTAGTTGGTTTTCTGTTTGAAAACTATAAGTTCAATGAATTCTTCGGGAATTTGTGTGCATTGTTCATTATTAATTGTATGTTGTGAGTTTATATGAACATTTGTCGACATTCGAACATATAGTTTTACGACTGGGGATAAACTCCGCGCTTTCAAGCCATCTAAGTATATCCTAGTCAGGAATCGCGGTCGTGTTCCTGTTTACCTAGTCACTCAGTCGTAGGTACTTTGGAATAATTTCTGTTATAGAACTAATTGCAGGCATTTCTTTCGCTGTGTTGTAGTTTTCCTTCTATCATGACTGTTACCCACTTGACATGTCTGTAGTATGATGGAGTAGTGTTCCCCTCTTAGGAAACTTTACACTTTTCATATACTCCGGTAAAAGCGACAAAGGACGAAGCATACTCTCCATCGTATATTTCGGTGGTGTGAATAATGTTTACCGCTTCATTTTGGTCGGTTGCCGGGTGCAAGGTCGAAATTGCGAATGAGAGTGGGGTTTATCCTCACTCTAGTTTTACACAAATAGGACGCCGAATATATCGATATTTTGTATAAAAATTATACTTAAGTGATCTCAGTGATTAAAATTTAACGAATTCCAACAAATGGATATTTAGATCTTCTCATCCATCTTATCTATACCCCCGTAGCCTGTTAAAAAAGATGTTTAATTGTTCAATCAATTACTTTGGTTTGAATTTATCCCTAATTATTTTTAATGGTTAACAACACAAGTGACTATATGACAATATTCTAATTATACGTATACATTCCACTATCTAAATTTAATTATATTGGCTTTCAAATTCCTAATAAATAAAAACGATTAGTATGCCTCTAACAGTAGTCAGATGTTTCATTTATTCACTGTATTCTTATTTAACAATAAGATCCGGGTACATATTAATGCTCATATTGTGAACAAATTTCACATCTAATGACTTATTATATTATTATAAACAAGATCAGCATTTAAACACGATGGATTTATAAACCCGAATAATCGTTGATAATTTTGATTATTTCCCTAAAGAATCTTGGACCAGTTTAGGAGGCGAAACGTTGAGATTAATCAAATTTCAATCGCTGAGACTATTCAAGTGTAATTTTTGTACAAATTTGTTCTAATGCCTACATACATATAAAAATCTATACACGACCGTCATCAGAATCCACAGTTACAAATCCATAATTATTGTGTTACAATGATTAAACTACGGAATATTTAAATACGTAAATCAAACAATGTTATTCGTTAAAACTGTAAACTTTTGCATTAGTTAAGATCTAAATATATCAGTAATACATCAGTTGTAAATTTAAAAGGTTTTTTGGGAAAAAGGGGTAGGAAAACTCATTCTACAATGTTATGTTACGATTGTTTACTTAAACACTTTATTTTTGAATATCCTATAAAGATTTTCAAACTCTGTACATCAGCCACACAACTTCTCAAGTTTCAAATGAAAGAAGTGTCTGTCTGGACTCATTAGTCTAGAGCGAAAATATTTGACAAGCTACAGATAAAATAAACTACTTTCATCGTATTCCGCTATTAGTGTTTTAGAGTTTTCAGTTCTTAATAAAATCCTTGTTTGTGTACTAAAAACTATTTAATAGTTTTTGTGTGAAGTCCTACTTATGGTGCTTGTGAATATTAGTAGTTAGTATTTTTACACATCTTAGTTGAATTTTATTGGTTCACTATTCAACAGTTTCATATTCATGTAGAAAATTTAAATAGGTATCATATTATTTATGCCTTCGTAAAATCGTATTTCATATACACTTTTGTTTAGTGGATATTCATACTTTTCACTGTGTTCATGTATATATAATCCGTTCAGAAGTTAATCTGGTATACTTTATTCGAATGATTATATTATAACAACCACAAATTCTCTTTATTTGAATTCAGTCGTCTAGATGTTTTCGTATAAACCTTGTTAACTTGTCTGAGGTCATTTAAGTATCAAAAGATAACTATTCCTGAACTACGAATTAAGATCCCTGATTTGACTGGACATCAAGAACATTACTGCTCAAATAACATAATAACTGATGTTGAATATAAAAGCTTAACGAAATATCTATTGTTTGCATTTAAAATAAAAGCCGCATAAATTTGTTCTCTCATTTATGTATCCACTAAAAATGCATTGACTGTAACAATAGAACTTACTTTCGTCTCTGCAACATATTTTCATAAGTTATCTTCAGAAATATCCGCAAATCCATCATATTCCGAAGTTCTCTGTATTCAAAAAGATAAAAGTTGTGATACACTTTCTCATGTATCGGAGTTTTTTAGACACTGCACGAATATATATATATATATATATATATATATATATATTAAGGTGGCCTATGGGTGGATTAAAAGAAGGCTAGAGAAACGAATCAGGATACGGTATCATTTTGTGAGTTCATTGGCTGTTGACTGAATGGTATCAAGGGTTCCAGTGTTCTTGCTTAGGGGTCACTTGACAATTGTAATTAATGGATGGAGAACCTAAGTGTCAATGTCAAAAGTCGGTGAACTTACGATAGATATGTTTATACTTTACCTTCCTCTAAATCATGAATAGTGAGAACTGCTCATTAGTAACGTCTCTGACGGCGAGATTTGCTAATACTAGTTCGAGTCTCGTGGGAAGTATCACTTGTCCTTTGCTAACGAGCTCCAACAATTACAGAAAGTAATCTCAAGGCTTCCAATGGATTATTTCTAACCAAGGAACATCGTTACATTATGTATACGATTTCAAGTTACTTAAGCTAGCGGTCGTATTGCGATTTGGTAGATAGAATTTAATCAACAACCATAATACTGTTTATTACTAAAGGATCAATAAGAATAATGATTTTAGTCAGGGTATGTTTTCTGTTCTTTGAGTCATTCATAGGATGAAAATAACTTCTACATAAATGAAGACTCCGGACACCATTTAATACAATGAAAAACAATTGTCATCTTGAGTGCAGATTTTTACAAACTTACATTTTATTCATTATCAGTATTCCTTCAATTAAAAGTATTCTGATTTTTTCTTCCAACACCTTTGCTTCAGACCATAATTTAATAAAAGTAATTATGCCTTCCCAGTTAATTGCTGATTCACCTTGAATAAAAATACATCACAGGTTTGGCACTGAAATAACTCTTCCATGTTTTGAAAAAGCAGATTATTGTTAAGTAGGAAAAGAACTAATCGATATTAGGCTTTTTGCCGTTGAATCTGTGATGGTAACCATCAAACAGGCTAATTGTATATTCTGTTTCCTGGAGATGTTCTCTCCACTTGCTAATTAACTCGATTTTCTGTTTGTACGTATTTTATTATTATTATTACCGTCCTTACTATGTGTAATTAGTGCTTTCCTCAATCCTTATGAACCATTGATAATACGCTATATCTCTGTTTCTTTTTATTTTGACTAGTCTAATGATCGATTACAAACGCCATGTACAATTAATATTGCTTCACATTCAGTGGATCGGTTGTAGTTTGACTGTAATAGTATTGTTTAGATACGAATTTAGTATGACTAAAATTAAAAGTGAAGTCAGTGATTCATCAGAAACTGATGATATGTAATTATCTGAAATATATTACAGTGATCTGAAACTGCTTGCCCGTGTTCTGTTTTGCAAAGATGATAATAATGATAGTGAAATTGTTAAATGTTGCATTGATCTAAATACAAAAAAAATTTGCTTTTATACCCAAAAGTCTTTAAAAAGTTCCATATTATTGTGAATTACACCTTTGTATATTCCCATTAAGATTAACTTCCATATTAGTTTTTCTTTAAATTAGGATCTCAGCTCAAACACTCAGTTAATCTAATAACGATCTACGTTATTTTAAAACTATTCGACTGGTAACATTATAAACATTGTAACCTTCTTATGCCAATTTCTGACTTTCTCCTTTATTAATAGATATAAAATCAATAAAATGATAACTTTCTGGATTTAATGAATGACTGTGAAAATAGAATTACTTACTTATACAGCGTACTAAATTAATTGATGTTGATATTACGTAACACTAAACAAATATTCACTTTTTAAAGTAAATACAACTACATACAAAGACAGTGTTTAAAATAGAATAATAGAAAATAATATTTCATTGATCCTACTCATCTAATGCTGTAGTGAATAAGAACACGAGTGGGAACAATTGGATGTATTTGACACGAAATTACAGAGCATCTTACTAAAATCTGAGAACCATATAGTAAGTAGTTAATTTGCAAAATATCAATCCATCGTCACAAGCTTCACTGTTCCTTTTGCAAATATCAGTCCATTGTCTCAGATTTCACTGTCCACGCATTTTCATATCAATTGCGTTCCGTATCCGTTCTTCCCTTATCGATCTTCTGCTGAAATACATTCTGTGCCTAAGCATTGTTATATACTACTTATATGGATATAAATAACCCACACCAGAATACAGCTCAAAATTTTTTCAGTTTCAGTCAGTATCCTTTCATAAAAAGGAGTTCGTCTGTTAAACCCAAAATAACTCCAATAACTCAATATCTAATGATAAGTAAAAATTCATTCAATGAAGGGAGTATCTTGACAAAGGTGAATAACCTCATATAAATATTATAGGTTCTAAGTTGGTAATTATATTGTTTATTTTTTATAATATGAATTTTGACCTACTATTTTAATACATATTTAATTTTTTGTAAAAGGTTCTATCACTAAATTAAATCGTTTTATGAATCAATGAGATATGAACTTCTCATATAAAACCAAACTAAGGAATTATGTAACTCACAGTCGAAATTTGGTTCATTTGTAATAGGATCTCGTATATGACGTTTATCGTTATGAGGCTGAAAATAAATAATTGTTTACAGTAAACAAAAATAATATATTTGTATTATCGCAAAGAATAGAAAAATTAGATTGCCTAACGTTTCGTGTAAGCCACTTCTTCAGATAATATATAACCAAATAAAATTAACTCAGGTTTAAATAGATCTTAGTGTAATATTATCATTTTAAAGATACACCAAATGTTAAATATATTCTGACTGTGGCTGGCAGTGGAATCAGAGACTTGCAATTCATCTTACTTCAAACTTGTATCATAGTGTTGGTGTTCATACTGAAACTCAACCACAGTACCTATTACCTCAAATGGAAAGAAGCTATTAGTTAAAAATAATTAGACTCATCAGTTGCAGTCGTCAATATCAATAATAGAAAAATTCAAACGATTACATACAAACAAAATGTTCATCTACAACAAGATTATTTGTGATCTATAGAAAATGGTTTTCTAGACTATATACATATACATACATTCCCAATCTTTGTTTATTAGTGGGTATCAACGGAATGCAAAATATATGTTCCGTTACACTTAGGACTTACCAGTCAGGTGTACTTAATTACTCCTGTTACTCCTCGTGGAGTAACAAAGGTCGCTCACCAGAATTCCCCATCAAACTCTGTCCTGGACAGTCCTTTCCATTTGTTTCGAATTGTGATTTGTTCTTTTGATGTTTGCCTCCATTTCCCGACGCAGTGTTCCTTGGTCTTCCTCTTTTCATTCCATCATGGAGATCCCGAGTCGGGGCTTGCCTTGATAATTTCCACAATTTATGTCCTACCCACCTCCAGCGTCTTTTCATAATTTCCTCTTCATCTGAAATTTGGTTTTTTCTCTCCAACAGTATGCTGTTACTGATGGTATCCGGTCAGCGGACACTGAGTATCTTACGTAGACAATTGTTTGTAAATACTTGTACCTTTTTGACTATTGATGGTTGTGGTCGTTCTCGAATTTTCAGTTCCATATAGTAGAACTTTCTTGGTGTTCATATTAAAGATTCGGAATTTGATATTGGTTAACTGTTGTTTTGAGTTCCAAATGTTATTCAGTCGCAGGGATGCTGTTCTTATTTTAGCAATCCTCGCCTTTATTTCTGCATCAGATTCTCCACGTCCATCGATGATGCTACCCAGTTACGTGAACATTTCCACCTCTCCCAGAGTTTCTCCAAGTGTGATTGCCTTGGCGTTCTCTGTGCTGGGTTCGAGGATCTTGTTTTTTCCTTTGTGTATGTTGAGGCCTACCGATGCCGAAGCTGCTGCTACACTGTTTGTCTTGACTCGCATTTTTTTATGCGTATGGGATAGGAGGGCCAAATCGTCTAGTTGCATCCAAGCTGTCTATTGTATTCCATGCTTTCCCTCAGATGTGGAGGTCATCATAATTCAGTCAACCATCAGAAGAAAAAGAAAGGGAGAAAGTAAACAGCTTTGTCTGACTCCTTTGAGATGTGTCTGTCAGCTGTCCTCCATGAACGGCTTTGCACTGTAGTCCATTGTGTGAATTTCGTATGTTGACGATTTTTTTAGGTACAACATAGTGTTGAAGAAGGTTTTTACAAGGTCCTCCTATTCACACTGTCAAACATCACTATACATTAACTCTCTTGACTATGAGAAAGCGAGTTCCAATCAACTGACTGTTCAACGATTATGCGTAATGTCGCGATTTGGTCTGTGCACGATTGATCCTTTTGGATCTCGCAGCTGAACGTCTACTGAGTCTTTCATCTGGTTCAGCAACACTCTGTTAAAAACCTTTCCTGGTATTGACAGTAGTGTGACATTTTCTAAAATGTGACTCAATCATTATCTGACAATAACGATTGAAGTCGGAAAATAGATAAGTTACCAGATACTGAATCAATGGTCTAGAGATGCCATGGTCAATGTAAAATATTAAGGTCATGGACTCGACTCCTTGTGTTCATTTATAAGAAACCTTGATAAAAGATGTGTAAAAAATTCCACTGGTCTTTCATACTTTTCTGGTTGAGATCCCTTTTTATAAATGAAATATTTTTTTAAACTAAACTCATTTTTTACAAATTATCCAACTACATAATAATGTATATTACTATCCCATATTACTCCTAAGTTTTGTATGTTAAGTGTCATATACGAATAAATTAGCAAAGTGAAATGAACTTTTATTTGGTTTACAAATTAAGATAATTTAACGCTTAAATTTCTCACCCAGTAATAATCATCCATTTGTAAACATGTAACATTGAAGCCAATAGATTGTAGATATTCAGTAAGTTTTCCAGTCATCGTTGTTTTTCCAGAATTCGATGCCCTAACAAACAAAGTATTTTAAGAAGGAAAAAATCATCGTGCTTTTCATTACATACAAAATGTTAAGAAATTTATGAATAATTGTGGTGTTTAAAGTAGTTTTGTATTAATAATTATTTTAATTCATCTACTGAAAACAGAATGGGGACTTTATAAGATCTAAATGGTTCATATTTTTTTCATCATACGGATTACAGTAAACCAGTTTCTAATTAAAGTTATCCGTATTTGATATTACCCACTGTCATATTACAAATCGTAAAAACAGAATTGCAGCTTTCGAATTTCAATATTATAGAATAGTCAAATAAAAATATATGGTTCATATATATATATATATATAACATGTGCTCACTAGTGACTAGCTTCGTGAGGGAATTCTCGGAGTTCTAGTGAGAAGTCGTGACCAGTGGAGCTAATCCGTGTCGGGTAGAGACAGGTATCTGCCTCAGTAAATGGAAGTTGGTCGCGCAATTTCGTGAATTGGTTGATGTTAGACACTAACACCATTGGATGCCGGCTCAGTGGTCTAATGGTTAAGTGCTCAGGCGCGAAGCCAGTAGGTCCTGGGTTCGAATCCCGCGGGGTGCGGGATCGTGGGTGCGCACTGCTGAGGAGTCCCATACTAGGACGAAACGGCCGTCCAGTGCTTCCAGGTTTCCAACTGTGGTCTAACATCAATTCATTCATGATCTCAACCAAAAAAATATATACTGAATTGTACAGAAATAAAATTTACTTTAAAATCCTTTCCGAACTACTCCTGGGAAGAAATCAGTAATTAGAAATCCAACGTAAAATTTTATAACTGGTCCAACCATTTGTACAAGTTGTACAGACAAACTAAGTAGTTACAATTTCATAGTTTAGATTATTACTCTAATCAGAAAAATGTTGAGTGACCTCAACTTGTCAAAGAGGTGACATGTTCTTTAGAAATTGTAAGTGAAAAACTTCTACACTGGATATTAAGCTGGTGCTACTCCTGCGATTCGAACACATAGTTCAGTATCATTACTAAAAATTTCATTATTATTTTTATTATATTCCTTTCACAACTATCCCTTAATAAAGGGAAACATTTAGACAATTTGCATTTTAAGGCTCGTGAAATAGATACTAATGACTGTCAGTTCTACAGTGATCCTAGAAATATGAAGCTGTCTACTAGTTTTCTTTATCATTTCTAAAGTGATTAGTATTACTTGTCACTATCCTAACATTTTGAACTAGAAGTCGACACTAACATTTAAAATCATAGCTTTTGCTGTAATAACCAGTTAATAAGTGATAAAACATTCTTATGTTGTCAAAATTTAAGTGTCGACCTAATTTTATCTGAATGATGGTTACTGATCCAAATAATTCAATGTCACAGTACTGTTGGCAGACCTACTCTTGGTAAATTTTATGCATAAATTTAAAACATGTAACCATGACTTGTTCTACACCGTTAGCCACTGAATATGATGCTCATTAGATTTAAATGTTGACTGAGTTGGGAGTGTATTAAAAATCCATTAAATGCTCCAGGTAAATCTTGACTACAAAGAAATCTATACTAAACATTCAATTACTCAACAACACTAAACTTTTATCAAAAATGGTCATAGTCCATTTCAATAAGGAGTCCTAATTTATTGTCATTTTTTTCAAGTACCATCCATAAAGTTTTCCCTCGAAGTAATGGTTATGGAAAATACAACTGTTAGTTCATTAATAAAAAAATCCATTGAGTGTTAGAGTAATTACCCCGCTATTCCGATCACGTACTGTTTTGTTAATGTGTTCATCTATAATAGTTAAAAAGAAAAACATGGAATATGATTTTTAATATTACTAAGGTTTGCGTACTGACAGTGAAAACTTGAAATAATAATTTTTTTTAAAAATTCACTAATAAGAGTTAGACAGTAAAGAACCCAGATAAAAGTTAAACATTATTACAGCTCGCTGAAAAGTAATCAATATAAAGATATCTGATTCTCAATACTGGCAAAGTCCAATCGAAATCTGTAATAGGGTAACAGAACCCGTTTTTACAACTCTGAGAAGAAATTCGTTAGATGTTAAATGATGAGTGATAATCACTAGGAAACTTGACTTAGATTTCGTGTGTATTTCTTAATATAAAAACATACTGCTTGTGTACGCGAATGCCAAGATTCAGGTATTCGTATCAAGATATAGTCAGATGCTACATTATTAACAACATAATAAAGTTGTATTAATTACTATTTCAATAACGAGAATGTGATAATTACTTACTGTTATTACGTCGTTATATATGCAACCACTTTGACATTTTACAAGCTTAATTAAATTATTGGATATAAAGACACTATAGAAGCATTATTGACAACAGACAAATAAATTTTATTAATCACTCAATGAACAAATCTCTAATCTTAGTGATTATTGTCAGTATTTTTTACGGTCTTAGTACTGCCTAACTCTATTGATGTTCAATTATTATCTTCTCGTAACAACTCACATTCATGTTTATGATCTTGTCACGAAATTCAGACAACTATACTCTTGAACTATTTACTTTCTCGTCATATAAATGTTCAGTTTTCGATCCGTAATATTTGCTTTCTAATTTGACATTGATTTCCACAGCCGTAGTCAGCTTACTTACTTACTTACGCCTGTTACTCCTCGTGAAGGAGCATAGGCCGCTCACCAGCATTCTCCATTTAACCCTGTCCTGGGCAATTCTTTCTAGCTCCTTCCAGTTGTAATTCATCGTTTTAGAAGGGGCATCGGCCTCGTGGCTTCCGAAGGAACTCGGCTTTCAACATGAAGCGTCATAATTCTTTTAAATGAAGACCTTCTAACTCCCAGGGCAGAGTTAAAATGGTTTGGATTATTTTTTCTGGTAAGCGTTTTTTTAGCGAGTTAGTTTTCTACGGTATGAGGCCGCTAACCACATGCCCAACCCTCCTCCTTTATCCGGGCTTGGGACCGGCAGTAACCCTATAAGAGCTACAGACGGAGTTCGTAGTCAGCAGATTATTCAAAATAATGAAATTATAGGGAACATTTAAAATAATCTTAAAATTATAAATATTGCTTTGTAACTGCTATCATAAGATACATGTAAACACTCCTATTTAATCAGTGAGCTTTATTCTTGTAAAATGAATATGATGCAGAGTAGTGCGTTTGATGTCAGTTTAGTCTATAATAGTTCCAAACCAGTATAACTAAGTTATATAAATTAGTTTCGTGACCAGAGACAACTGATAAATGATAACTTACTGATGATCAACTTATCAGTCTTCTTATATTCATTTGACCATCTTTAAAGGGGTAAACTTCACAAAATTATATCTGGCTGTCTGGAAGAAGGAGTGACCAAATATCGAAACATACTTGGCTTGTTGTATCTGATTCATGGTATGCAATTTATAAAACGTTTTCAGTTTCCTATCGTATTCCAAATAACTTGAGCCATAGGAATAAAGTTGAATAACTTACACATTCGAAAAATAGTACATTCAACCACTTTTCCAAGCTTAACATTCATAATGATCAAAACAAGGCTAATCAAGCCGCTTTGGTCAATCTTTTTCCCTTTACTTCCATCGATGTTGGTAATACCTCTAAAGCTTAATTTGTTCAATTATAGAAGCACTAAATATAAATATCGTGCTTCTACATTTCACGGTATTGTTACTAAACTAACTCAGTTATGGATTTTTACCAATTTTTCTTGCACTCACATAACTTACACCAAAGTTTTTACAACTGACTACCATATGGCATATATTATCGTACTTAAACTACCTAAAATAAGGATAAGGGGACTGTTGGAAACCAGGAGGCACTAAAGAGGTATTTCATCCTAAAATTAAGCTTTAGTCAGTACATAAATGAGACCCTACACGAGATAGAATTCAGTAACTTAAGTTTTCGTGTCAGTCAACGAGTTGGTACTTAATGGTTCATATTTTAAATTCTATTTGATTCATTGTCAGTCACATTATCAAATAATTTTATTGACAGCTTAGTTCCTGTGCAATGTAATTACATTTTCATTTTTACATCATAAAATCATCTATATATTAAAAAAAAATAACTCACCGTAGAATAAAGCACAAAATTATTTATTTACCCGCCAATGGATAATACTTATAAATGGGTATATTATTAGTCGACAATAATATGAATGTATTGTGTGATAAATTTACTAGAATGTTTTGTTTTATTGAACAAATAGTCTCTATTATAGACCAAAAGGAGTCAGTCCACTTAACTAACCAATTGATTTCAAAGGTCAAATGTGTGATATATTCATACAAATCCAAATCTTAGGCATGTGATAACCTTGAATGCATTCAGATAAACGTTTGTCTAGTTACCACTTTATGCTTTAATAATAATGTCAGTCATATTGTAAATAAGTACACTGGAGATTAGTAAAACATTATTTACGTGATAAAATTCAAAACAAATATTATAAAAAATTATTGTGTACAGCCATTAAGCAATTATAATCTTAATATATAAAATAAAAATGCTGTTCAATTAAAAAAAACAATGTTTTTATTTCCAGAAACACTGCAAACTATCTCAAATCTCACTCTGTCAACTTCCAGTTCCGATTGTCAAACTGTTGTCACTTCACGCCTTAGTTATTACTCATTACTATCGATTTCTTTATTATAAAATGTAAATGCATCTTAAGCGCATACTGATACGTCAAATCAACTTTTGGGTTCCTCCCTATTCCAAATTTTTTCATACATGGTGCTCTGCCGATTTACTCATTACATAATCCACCTTCATTCTACAATCATACCTAGTAGAAGCGGAAAGTTACATATAATTAACTGGATAATGAGTTCAGTTATTATAGATCCAGTATAAATTTATGTGGGGATCAATAGCATTTTCCAGATTAATGTCGTTTGTCGATCACTTCTTCAAGTCCAGTAGTTCAACCTATGCTATGCTATTCTGTTGACTTAAGGAATTCACTGCAGTTTTTGGTATTTTGATCTGATGAAATTTGCTTATTTATACTACATTTAAAATCTCAACACTTTTTTTACTGTAAACCGTACTGGAAAAGCTTTGCTTTCTATATTCTTGCTAAAACAATCAGTTGCCCATGACATGGATTTAAAAGTCTTGATTATTGTAAGAAAGTTGGTTTAATATTTTTTGAGTTATTTGTTAATTTTTATTACGAAGAACGTCTACTGAACATTGTATAATCAAACCTTAGGAAATCTTCTTTCTGGAAAGGAATATTTTTACTGAAAATGTAATCTATCTGAATTTGTCTTTCGCTTACTTCTTTTACATTTGATTATGTCACAAAATGATAATATTCAAAAAGACGAAAAAAAAAAAAAGAATAGTTATGTACTGGTAACAGACGGCAAAGAAGACAATGTAAATTTTCGAGAATTGTAACTAACTTCGAATTACGTCATTCAAAATATTTAGTTATTGATTTCTAGCATCCTAAAGATTTTAACTAGCTTGTCTATATCACACAAGCACTTTGTGGCCTTATTAACAAACACTGTATCTAAATAATGTTGTAAATGAGTATTCTATATTTCTGATTTTTTAGTTTTCCTGAACTTATTGAAAACTATAGTAACAAGAATGAGCATGTATATTGATTTGATAGGAAGCAAAGATTATAACCAAAAATCAATTAATATGAAATTCGAACAATCTGAAGTTCTCATGAGGATCTACAATTATAAATCCAGATTAATAATCCATAAAATTGACCAGATTTAAGGCAAAATACATCATTTGGAAATTGTAATATGTGAATCGGGAATTGTTTGTTATGTAAATAAAATCGTTAATGTTGGGGCTGACTAATATGAAGTGTTAACTTAAATCAGTTAATAAGCGAAATAAAATTGTGAGATAAATTATCAGAATAAATATGGTCAACATGGGGTAAGAGAGAGAGAGAGAGAATATTGTGATTACAAATCGGAAATTGCGTAATATGTAAAATAATTACGTCAAATATAGTAGATTCAGGGGTGGATATTGAATAAATTCCTCAAAAAGGGTTTATCAAGTGTAAAGACAATAATAGTAATAATAATAGTAATAAGTTTGGGACATAAAATGAACATTAATCAGATTATGTCATCACATTATAAGATTGACTATTAGCTATTTGGCCAGGGTAAAAGGAGTGGCTGAACATACTTCTTTTGGATACAAAGCTCTGGCTTTTTGATCCGAATAGCAATTGCTTCAGCCGTCTGTAGGATTCGCAGTCTGACGGAATTAGGTAGACTGCTGTGAACACTATAGATTATTGCAAAAGATTGCTCCCTGTTTGGACTAAATGGTCTAAGATGGAGCTGTTAACAGTTTTGACAACACCTTTGCTTAACCACACGGGTAGGTGCTCACGAGCCCGAATGTACAAATTCCTAGAACATCTGCCAATATAACTTGCTTCATAGGAGCAGTTGAATTGATAGATACAGAAGGAGGTGGCTAGTCTAGGTAATTTATCTTTCAACCTCGGAGTGATTATTGGTCGTGTGGAGAATACTAGTAGTAGGTTAGCTGCATTAAAAGTCCTTTGAATTGATCTACTTAGCTTAAGTCTTAACATCTCACTCGGAGCGTCGCCTCTGAATTGTAAGCGTATATATAGAGGCTTTTTATTTACCGTTGGGCATTCTCTACGCTCTTTTATTGGCTAAGTTTTTATTGATAAATTTCTTCGGATATCCATTTTCCTTCAGGGTTGTAAACAATGTCTTTGTTTCATCTTCAATCCTATCCATAGTGTATATAGTCTTGATTCTATGATGTAGTGTCTTGATAAGGTTCCTTTTTTGTTGTAGAGGAACGAAACTGAGAAAGTTAGTATACTGACCCGTCCAGGTCATTTTCCTGTTTATGTTTCTTTTTAGCGTTCCATCTTGTCTACTTGTAAGCAGAACATCTGGGAAGGCTATTTTACCCCCATTTATTCAATATCCACCCCTGAATCTACTATATTTGACGTAATTATTTTACATATTACGTAATTTCCGATTTGTAATCACAATATTCTCTCTCTCTCTTACCCCATGTTGACCATATTTATTCTGATAATTTATGGTGGAGAAGATTTGTAGCTCAGGTGGATGATTTTGATGGAGTTTTGTTCTCTGAGCTGGATGGTTTGGTCGTGGAGCTTTCATCGCTCTTCTGAACGACATCATCAGCACAAACTTCAGATAGAAGTGAAGTGTTCGAATTTCTCCATATGTGTTTCACAGCTTGTTCTGTGCACCTCGATGTTGATTGGTTCTTGTTGACCTTAAATTTATCATTGTTTACTTCTTTGTTTTGGTTGTGTCTCCCATTGGTTTGATTTTTGTTCCCATATTTATGCATGGTTTTCCTGATTGGTAGATAAATTTAAGGTCAACAAGAACCAATCAACATCGAGGTGCACAGAACAAGCTGTGAAACACATATGGAGAAATTCGAACACTTCACTTCTATCTGAAGTTTGTGCTGATGATGTCGTTCAGAAGAGCGATGAAAGCTCCACGACCAAACCATCCAGCTCAGAGAACAAAACTCCATCTGATAATTTATCTCACAATTTTATTTCGCTTATTAACTGATTTAAGTTAACACTTCATATTAGTCAGCCCCAACATTAACGATTTTATTTACATAACAAACAATTCCCGATTCACATATTACAATTTCCAAATGATGTATTTTGCCTTAAATCTGGTCAATTTTATGGATTATTAATCTGGATTTATAATTGTAGAACCTAATGAGAAATTATTGAAAAAAATATTCTTCGTTCATACAATTGTGTTTTCATATAATGGAAATTTTTCAGCGATTAAAATCTGAAGTTCAGTAAGATAATTCTATGCGGGTTTATGAAAGATTCTGTTAACAAATATTTGAAATAATAAGTAAGTAGTAACAAAGGTAAATGATATTTATTTACAAGCACATATCAATCGTTAAATAGGTAAAATGAGTGATAACGGTCAATCATTGAGGACTTACAATCTGGCATATGTTTCCACCGCTCCATGTTACTAGATCCCATTAGCACAGCAAAATGAAACTGTCAAGGTAAATCTCAGCGTAGCAGAGATACGAACAGTATTAATGGTAATAGAATGGAATGAAGCATAGTATGATTCGAGAACTTTTTTAGTACAATAAATAGAATGTATAGTTATAATTCACGATTATTCTGTTAGTCTATTCATGTAATAAAATCTTATTCATTTAATTAGATTCTTTATTCATATTTTTTCCTCATCTTAGCAGATGTAATAATATGTATTTTTTAAAGTATTCTGTCGAGAGGAAAATCAATCGTTTTAAGAAAACTCCTTGATTTTTATGGGAGATATCGTTATGAAGCTTTTTTAGCGTCCTTAATTTTCTTTAATCTTGTAAATTTCACTTAAATGCATTCTTGTTTCCAATGTCATTAATTAGTTAGTCAAATTTTCTTTTTTTTTCTAGATCCACACCTTACAGAAAATAAACGATTCCTATATATACTGTAATCTCTATTTTCATTAGTACCAATTTCTTGGTTAAGTAAATGTTCAATTTAATTAGAATATTGTATAATAATAATGATAATAATAATAATAAATCTATTGACTTAAGTGAATCAATCTGTTTACAATAGAACTATAGTAGTAAAGAAAGAAATACAGAAATAACACCTTCAACAAAACTGAATGGCCAAAAGGTAAATCGAGATTCTAGTTGATATATAATAACAGTCGAAATACCAAAGTTGACAAAAAGAAAATAAAGTAACTGAACAATAATGATAATGTGCAGTTCTAAAGAAATGAAACAAGTATTTGAATAGAATGTAACAATAAATGAAGCAACTCAACTAACAAACACAACAATAGTGAATTAAAGTATTCAGTAAGCAAGAAAACCAGTTATGGAACGAATATTCAAATGAAATTTCAATTATGTTTAAAACCATCATCTATTGCCTTTAATTTCCATAGCCTTTAATGTACAATTTGAACTGATCATTGTTACTTCTCCAGAAGTAGAACAATATCATCGAAATGTCGGAGTTTCGCTTCATCTAATGCACTTGTACCCCATATTGTTCGACATTTTGGATCAACACCAGCACCGTATTCCAGTTCTGTTTCTTCTACATTGATCTTTTTATCGTGGGGGTTTTTCTTCATTATATATTGGTGAGATGAGAAATTTAATGGAATTCAATTGCCGATGTGTAACAGC